TTAAAGCACAGGGGAGAATACAGCCTTGAAGTTATGCACATGTGAAAGATATTGATATAAAAGCACCAGAATGTTGTTTTTTCCTGTTAGTGCTTTTTCACCTGCTGTGATTTTTGCAGGGAATTCTAGGGTTTTCAGCTTCAGAATAACCTTTTTCCTTAATACTATTAGCTGTGGTCTGGTTCTCTGGGGTACCTGTGTGTACATCAATTCTCATAGGCACAGAGCTCAATCAGACAAGTGTATTGACCACTGCCATTTTAGATGTGACTTCTTGAGGGAAGAGCAACTGACGTCATCTACCTGGACTTGTGCAAAGCATTTGACACTGTCCCATATAACATCCTGTGCTGGTTTAAAGGTAAACCAACAGGGGAAATGAACTCAACTCAAAGGAGAGATTATAAGTCAGAATAACAATTTAATAAAATAATACAATAAATATGATTATACAGACAAACAGTTGGTTTTAACCCACAAAACCCAAATGTATAACCCAGCACCCTGGGGCATGAACAGAGTGGTGTTCTTTGGGCCCCCTGAGTCCAAAGTAAAAGGAGAGGGAAAAAACCTGTTGGTGAGAGTGCTGTTTCAGTCTGGTCAAGAGTGGTAATTGTAGTCTGGTCAAGAGTGGTGGTTGCAGTCTGGTTGAAAAGTGGTGGTTGCAGTCCAGTCGAGAGTGGTGGTTGCAGTCTGGTTAGGAGTGGTGGTCTGTAGTCTTCCTCTGGATCCCACGAGTGGTTAAAAATGTCCCAAGACTCCAAGATTATATATCCTCCAGTTCAGGCAGGAATGCCCAGTACCTCCTGCCGCGGTCCGAGCGGGGGAGGGGAATGGGACCGCGACACGGCACGGATACCAGGTGGGGTGCAGGTAGAATCTTTAATCCAGCGTGCACACGGGGTTTTTATCCGGAGGGAAAGGGCCAGAACATAGGGTGGAGCAGGAGACAGACAGACGGGGGGACAAACCAGGATTGAGCCGTGGGCAAAAAGGGGGGGGGGAGCGCAGGAGGGACCAGGGGAGGAAAGGGCGAATGGGGACTGTCTCCTGCCACAGCTTCTCCAGCCAGTCGGCAGAGAAGACAGAGGTGCAGGGAGGTGAGCAGGCCGGGACATGCCCGGAAGATACAAATTCGGGGGAAACACACAATGTGTGAAGTCCATTCAATCGCTGTACATATTTTTCCATTTCCGGAATCGTTCCCATTCCGATTCCTGGTCCTCGACAACCTCCCTCAGGGTGGGGAGTTCCACAATGGGTGTGAGGATGTAGGGTACGCAAATGTCCTTATATAATAAGGAAAAACACTTCTTTGTGTGATGGTGAACAAAGAGACTTTATTTTAAAATTGGCACGGTTTTATCCTTTAACACCATGTGACTTCTTTGACCAATGAGGTTACCTATGTCAGCGCATGCTCCCTTGGGCTTCTCTGCCCCGGCACGTACCCTGTGCCTTGGACACATCTCCCACATGAGGACAGGAGCATCCTCCTATCTCGCAGGCCTCTTAACACCTAGTTTATAGCCTGAGGAGTCAGATGGTGTAAATAGTCTATTGATAACAGTTTCTGGGAAATGGCATGGAAGGCTATAGAATACACAGTTTTGGGTTACACCCATACAGTGATGAACTGGTCCCAGCTGTTCTAACTAGGACACATCCTTGTCTCTAAACTGGAGAGACATGGATTTCATGGGTGGACCTCTTGGTGGATAAGGAATTGGATAAGGAACACCTGCTATGAAGACAGACTGAGAGACTTGAGGCTGTTCAACCTGGAGAAGAGAAGGTTCCGGGGGGACCTTATAGCACCTTCCAGTAGATGAAGAGGGACTACAAGAAGGCTGGAGAGGGACTTTTTACAAGGGCATGGAGTGACAGGACAAGGGGGAATGACTTTAAACTGAAGGAGAGCAGGTTTAGATTAGATATTAGGAAGAAATTCTTGACTGTGAGGGTGATGAGGCACTGGAGCATGTTACCCAGAGAGGTTGTGGATGCCCCATCCCTGGAAGTGTTCAAGACCAGGCTGGATGGGGCTTTGAGCAACCTGGTCGAGTGGAAAGTGTCCCTGCCCATGGCAGGGGGTTGGAACTAGATGATCTTTAATGTCCCTTCTAATCCAAACTGTTCTATGATTCTATGGTTCTATGAGTCTATGACTAGTCCTTTTTATACCCTTTTCTGTCTACTCCCATTTTGTTCCTTCCTACTCCCCCTTCCCCTGCACATTCCCTCATCTATTTGCACAGTTCCACCGACCTCCCCTTCAACATCCTGGACCCTCAGGTTTGCATCCGTATCAGTAGCAAAGTCTCAGTTTTACTGTGGTTTCTTGATAGCCCATCAATTAGTGTGAGTGACCAATTTGTTTCCATTATGTTTGTGTCTCTGTTTTATTTATGGATTCCCCCTTTTCATCATTTGACAAGGTCCTTGATCAGATCATCTTAATGGAATAAATATTCCCACACTCCATATATCCGTACAAATTAGTGACTGACCTGGTTTGGTTCTCATCACTGCCTCCCTTATTGTTTTTTGGTCAGGTTTGTGTTTCTGTGTATTTTCTTGTTTATGGCTTCTTCCCTTTTCTTAGTATCTCCTTTTGCGTTGAAAAGGTCCTTGACAAGATACCCTTAAAGGAACAGACTCTCTTTCCTTCCACATACTGTTACAATACTGGCACTCGCATGGATATGAACAGCACAGACAATCTGATGCTGTTCCTCATTTCCACCCAATCAAGATAATCAGTCCATCCAGCAGTTGGTTCCTAGACCCCTGGCAAATTTGAAAAACTTAAATTATACCCCTACATATTTTAAAATGCAGTTAAATAAGTTTCTGTAGAATGCTAGCAATAACAAACATCATTACTTCAGTATCCTTCCTACATTTCAACATCAGAGTGAAATATAATCCTAGATTTCATGGGGTTTTCTGGTACCATAATAGTGTAACAGTGGCTCTTGGTCCCCATGTCTCGTATCAACAGCTTACTTCCAGGTCGTAATTATATAATTACAGATAATAGACTCAAAATGAGCTTTGATGGGTTTTTAAAAGTGATGGCAATGATGCACAGACAGAGAATATGAATTTCTCTTCTAATTTCAAATTTTACTTTGCAGTTTCCTTGACAATAAAAAAATCCTTAAAAGCATAATTTGTTTTTTGGTTACAACCACAGGAATCCTTTATTTTTTTTCATAGCATTAACCATGTCTTTTGGGGTTTGCAGGGTTTGTTTGTTTGTTTGTTTGTTGCTTACTGCTTGTCAGACATTTACCCTTCAGTTTTTCTTCTCTGGGGAGTTGTGTCTGTGACTGCCTTTGGCATCTCTGCTTCAGTCTGATAGTCTGATTGCTGGTTTCCTATTAGCTTTCTTGTGCAAGTAATGCATCAAGAAATGTCTTCTGTTGCATTACCATTGTAGTGGTTTGAACCTTGTTTTCCCCCAGAGGCTAAGAAAAGTGGTAACCCCCAGGGGTGGAAACCCCTGGAAGTTTTGGAGTTCTGTCCAATGAGCTCTCCTGCAGAAATGTAAACATATCACAAGCACCGGAAGAGAAGAGTTGTAGTTTGGTTGGTAGAAGAAGTAGTCATGTTGTTGTAGAGCCACGAGGAAAGGGGTCCGGAGCCCCTCGGGGCCTCTGGGGCCCCCCCCCAGCCCCAGTTGGGGGCTACAGGGACCTGGAACAGCATAAAGCTGGGCTAGGTACCTGTAGTTGTGAGCTGGGAGATGTTTTCTCCAAACTGGGCAGCGGCCGGAGAAAAGCAGCAGCCGAGCTGGCACTGACCGGAGAAGCGGTGGCAGAGAGCCAGAAGAGATAAGACGGAGCAACAGAAACATGCAACACCACAGAGAAGACTCCTGGAAGGAGAGTTGAGGAGAAGAGAGCCCACAGCAGAGCTACGGAGTTCTGGTGGGTAGGAACTGATACCAGTCCCCCCAAATCTGCTTTGAGACCTCCTGGAAAGGAGGAAGATGATGGATTCTTACTTGAAAGAACCTTGAAGTGCAACATGCACTGCAGAGAAGA